TATCCTCCACTATGCTCCGAACAATAAAAATAACCAAGTTTTTATTCTAAAAATTAAGTAATACATTAGTTTCATTATGCAGACTATAAACATGAAATTTTCTAAGACTGTAAAAGATAAATTACCAAAAATAATATTAGCAAAAAGCAATAAGGCTATGCAAAATTTTTTCTTTTTTTGTCTTCATAACCTTGCCGGATTAAATTTTGAAAGCATTTGAAAAATTTTAGGTAGAAAATTTGACAATTTTTATATAAATTTTTTTTAAAAAGGATCGGGTGGCTGGATCTATTTCGGAATTTTGATGAAAAAGAAATTACTTTTATGTGGTCTTATATAAATTTTCGAACAAAAATCATTGATCAAGTTAGTGTGGCCATGAACTCGATTGAAATTCACTAGCCTTAGCTCTAATTTCGTATAAATTAATATTAGACTTTATACTTCATTATTAGCTGTAGAAACAAAGTATTTAAATAGATAAATTAAGATTATTATCTTTATAGATTAGTAACTTAAAATTATTAAATACACATTAAATACACACGTGAAATATCATTGGAAATTGAAAAATCGAGAGTAGTAGAATCTAAAAAATTAAAAAAGTAACCATTTTATCGATTATATCGAACATATTATAATAAGAGTAAATTATTTACCATAAATCTTTAACAATTTTGCGGGTGTAATAAATGAAGAATTAATTGGTTTAGAAAGGCTTTTAAAGTTAAGCAGTTTACTTGTAAGTTTATCTTTAGGGCAAATTGGCAGTTCGGTTGACAATGCTGGAATAATTGCATCCGCAGACTGGAATGCTTTTAATACTGCTAATTCATCTTCATCATATGCGCTACTATTATCTAATATCTTATACCATCTTGATAATTTTTCACAGATATCAAATGCAGTTGGTCTATTAGAAGGATCAGCATCCATACATTGATTTGCTAATTGAGTATAGCATTCAGGAGTGTCTTTGGCGAATTCAGGGCGTAGTCCATTACATATTTTTATAGCTAACGTTTCATCATACTCGATATCAAAATAAGGAGGTCTTCCTATAGACATCTCAGTCATAATAATACCAAAACTGTAAATGTCGGCTGCTGTTGTATAGGGTTGTTTATTTAACACTTCTGGTGCAACATAAGGTAAAACGCCGTAAATACCATCTTCTAAATCTGAATCATCTTTCTTTCTAGATAATCCTAGATCTGCAATATAAGATATTAGATCCCCATTAATATATTGATTTTGCAATATATTACCACTATGAAAGTCTCCATGGACATATTCTGCTTTGTGTACTTTTATTAAATTTTTAGATATATCGACAAGCTGGCTTAATTTATTTTTCCAATTAAGATCTCTAAAATTTAAAGATAGGAAATTATGAAGACTGCCTCTATTGGCATATTGAAATACCATCAAATATTCATTATTAGTTGTGTCTTGAGTTAGTCCATACACTTCAAGATTATTACCCACTAATCGAAATTCCGTGTAATTTTTAAACTTATTAAATAAAATAAAAATTTATAATGTTAATCTATAATTTATCTATATTAGATCATAAATAAATCATTTTAACATACTTCTCTTAAAAAATTCTTTCGTGAGCCAGGTAAAGTTTTCAGAGCAACTACACATGATGGTGTACGTGATTGTATATAGTTACAAGTAGTACCTGAAATTATTCTTTTACCATCTAACCACGTTGCAGAAAATACAGAACCAAATCCCCCTTTACCAATCATTTGAATATTATCTAATCTATTAAAAGGAATCCATTCGATTATATTTTCGTATTCCGTGGCTTTAAGTTGAAATTCTTTAATGCAATCATCGACATCATTATTTCCACTTGTCCATCCTTGTCTGGTCTTCTGAGGGTCGCATATTTGACACCAAGCTTTAGATGTGTTATGTCGATTACAATTTGCACATTTTCCATATTTATACCCTCTTTTATTATAAAATTCATCAAATACCAACATATACTCATTCGTTGTGATACTTTGAGTTAGTCCATATACCTTAGGTTTATTATTCTTTAACCGTACATAATCTACAAACTTTTTAAGCATGTAAAATATACAGTACATTAAGATAAACCTATACGTATATATTGTGAAACAATGATAAATACCGGTTCACCGACGGTTTTTACGCAAAGCAAACATCACATTGTCACATTGGTGACAATTTAGCAAGTTAACAGTTTTATCATGTATAAATTATAAATTGACACATTATGTGATGTCGTTTAGATCGTCGGTGAAATAATACGGATCCAACGATAAATTATTAAATATTCTTACTTCCTGTAACATATCCGATAAACTTTGTGATCTAGTTAATATTCTAAGATCCACTTGATATGATTCTATACGAGATTGTGTATACTTTCCATATCCACCTGAAGTGATTCGTATTCCATCTAACCAAGTTGCTAAAACTTTATCACCAATATTTTGAATTTTAACTAACCTATTAAAAGGAATCCATTCTATTACGTCATCGTATTTCGTAGCTTTAAGTTGAAATTCTTTAATGCAATTATCAATATCCCTATTCCCACTTGTCCATCTTTGTGCTGTTTTCTGAGGGTCGCATGTTTTACACCAAGCGTATGATGTGTTATATCGCTTGCAATTTAAACATTTTCCATACAGGACATCTCTTTCAGAATTAAATTTATCCAATTCACCAAATACTAACATATATTCATTTGTAATTGTGTTATGAGTTAACCCATAAACGCTTTTACTCCCCGATTGCACATGATTTTGAAACTTGTGAAGTATATAAAATATATAAGAAATTAACGATATACAAACACGATATTAATACGATATTAATAGAACAAGCTATAGATAACAAATAAATAACAAATAATATAGAATAATATAGTCTTACTTCTTTTAAAATATTTTGTGTTCTAGTCAACGTTTTAAGCTCCACGTCGTATGATGGTATACGTGACTGTGTATATTTATCTTTACCACCTACGTCTTCTACATATCGTATTCCATCTAACCAAGGTTGCTAAAAATCTGTCTCCATTCTCTTGAATATTAACTAATCTATTAAAAGGAATCCATTCAATTACCTCTTCGTATTTTGTAGCTCTAAGTTGAAATTCCTTGATGCAATTATCGATATCTTTATTTCCACTTGTCCATCCTTGTGTTGTCTTCTGAGGGTCACATGTTCGACACCAAGCGTAAGATGTGTTATATCGCTTGCAATTTGCGCATTTTCCATTATATGCGTATCTTTTAGAACTAAATTCATTAAATACTAACATATATTCATTGGTGATTGTGTTTTGAGTTAACCCATAGACACTTTTACCTTCTAATAGCATAGCATATGATTTTTAAACTTATAAAATGTAAGTAGAAATTATCGTCATTTAAATAAAATATTAATAAATGTCGTGGATGATCGTGAAATCGGATGATGGTGAAATTTGAAGGTCTCAATTTGAAACTATAAGCCCTACCAAAATCTACCTATACTCTTTTATTAATAACCCTAACCCTAAATCCTAACTTAACCATTAAAAAAAAGCATATAAAATAGATTCAAATTTCACCATCATCCGATTTCCGCGACAATAAATAATATAATCTTACTTCATTTAATATGTCTAATAAATCTTGTGATCTAGTCAATTTTTTAAGCTCCACCTTATATGACGGTATACGTGACTGTGTATATTTAACTTCATGGTTATGTTCATAATTTATAGACCGAATTCCATCTAACCAGGTTGCTAAAACACTATTGCCAATATTTTGAATATTAACTAATCTATTAAAAGGAATCCATTCAATTACATCTTCATATTTTGTAGCTTTAAGTTGAAATTCTTTAATGCAATCATCGATATCCTTATTTCCACTTGTCCATCCCTGTGTTGTCTTCTGAAGGTCACATGTTTGACACCATGCTTCAGAAGTGTTGTTTCGGTTGCAATTTGCACATTTCCCATTATATTCATCTCTTTTAGAACTAAATTCATCAAATTCCCCAAATACTAACATATATTCATCTGTGATAGTGTTTTGAGTTAGTCCATATACTTTAAATTCATTGTTTTTTGACTGTGCATAATCTATAAACTTATTAATTTTAAATATAAATTAACATATATCTTGCGCAATATCATGAATTTATTAAATATTTTTTTATCTTACTTCATTTAACATATCCAATAAATTTTGTGTTCTAGTTAAGTTTTTAAGCTCCACTTTATATGATGGCATACGTGACTGTGTATATTCATATTTAACTTTATGTATATGGGGCTTTTGCTAACAAATTGACCCTCCGAGCTATTGTTACACAAGATTTTAATTAGTAAAATCATAACAAATCTATTTTTAGTAAAAAAAAATCATAGCAAAGGCCCCATATATCGTATCCCGTCTAACCAGGTTGCTAAAACTCTATCGCCAATATTTTGAATATTAGCTAATCTATTAAAAGGAATCCACTCGATTACATCTTCATATTTTGTAGCTCTAAGTTGAAATTCTTTAATACAATCATCGATATCCTTATTTTCACTCGTCCACCCTTGTGTTGTTTTCTGAGGATCACATGTTTGACACCAAGCTTCAAAAGTGTTATATCGATTGCAATTGGAGCATTTTCCATTATATTCATCTCTTTTAGAACAAAATTCATCAAATACTAACATATATTCATTAGTGTTTGTGTTTTGAGTTAATCCACAGACACTTCTACGCAGTAATCGATTCTCTAATTGTACATGATTTTTAAACTTACAAAATATATAAATAATATATAATATATATATAATTATACATTAAGTATACATATTATTAATTAAATAAGATAAAAATAATAAATTAATATAATCTCACTTCTTTCAAAATATTTTGAATATTTTGTGTTCTAGTCAATATTTTAAGTGTAATTATGCATGCCGGTGTACGTGACTGTGTACATTCAACAACTTTATAATTTTCAATTTTATAATTTACATATCGTACACCATCCAACCAGGTTGCTAAAAATCTGTCTCCATTCTCTTGAATATTAACTAATCTGTTAAAAGGAATCCACTCGATTACATTTTCATATTCTGTGGCTTTAAGTTGAAATTCCTTAATGCAATCATCGACTTCCTTATTTCCACTTGTCCATCCTTGTACTATCTTCTGAGGGTCGCATGTTTGGCACCAAGCTTTAGATGTGTTATATTGCTTACAATTTGCACATAATCCATACTCATGATTCCTTCTAAAACTCAATTCATCGACCATAATTTTAAAATGTTACAGAGAAATTAATCATTGTTTTGCGTTAGATACAGTATAAATATATGCATGTATAACCAGTGTTGGCCTATGACCTTTATGACCTATTTGCTAATTATAGGTTATGACCCTATGACCTACTTATATGAATTATAACATTCACTATTACATTATGACCATCCTGGTCATATAAAGTTAGATATTAACTAAAATGGCCAACACCATGTATAACCTAAAAAATTTCACTGGCCAATCAGATTTCAAGATCAGGTGTGACGCAGAAGAAACAAAACAAATCAAAAAATTGCTTATAACTCAACATTTTGTCCATAAAACCACTTTCTGCGCACTAATAAAAAGGGTTTCTTGCGAAATTTTGGCTCTTTATAACCTAACTTAATAGCAAAACCTAACCCTAATCTAACAGCGAAATTTTTTTAGCGAAATTTTTTAGGTTGGTAACGCTAGATGTAGCGGTAGCACAATATTTACATCTCATATAACGATGGCAAAATTGGTATAGTTGGTAAAATATCGATATAATAATACTATAAAACGTAAGGTTATTATGCCAAAAATTTTTCAATTACACCAAAATTTCCCATCTCTGATAATAGTCATCTTACAATATCATACTTTATAATTTAGAAAACCCAGATCATTTTTATGAAATAATATTCTTTTATGAATATTCATAATAGAATATAGTAAATTTAATTACTAATAGTATTACCGTAAAAGTCGGACACGAGTACCCCGGGTATTTTCATTATTCAATTTAGTACCCCATATGGGTAGGGTTGTTAATGGAGTACTCCATTAACAACCCTACATATGGGGTATGGGGTATACCGTATTGAGACGATATGAGTATATTAGTATGATGCTTTTTCTATTTTTATATATAGCATGTATAATGCTTATGTACCCGGGAATAAATATTGTCTAGCTCTTAAAATTGGTACGTACGTACGTAGAAAATACACGCCATGGAGGTACTCGTGTTCGACTTTTACGGTAAGTACAGTATTTAATGTAACAAAATATCCTAATAAATTACTATATATAATAAACATCTTTATTTATGTTTTTGTGTTCTTGTTAAAATAATTAATAATTATATAAATAAATTAACTGTTATAGAAATTTGTTAAACTTTGCAGGTTGTTATATAGTAGGTTAATATGTAACAAAATAAAATTAAAATTATCATTAATTAAAAGATTAGAGTTAAAGTTAGGGTTAGCATTAGCGTTAGGATTAAAAGGTATAGATATGTTGTAAGTGGGAATGGAATTTAAGTGGATTTGGAATTTCCTAGTTAAATTAGGGTTAGGGTTAGGGTGTACATATGATAAAATCAACCCCAAAACGGGGTTTTATATATAAATTCCGAATCCACTTAAATTTCGTTTCCACCTACAACATATATAAATATATGTAAAATTACATGCCGAAAGCTTTTAATTAAAAGCCCAAGATTAGTTTATATAGTAAAATTTTGAAATACTTGAATTTTTTTTAATTTTTTTGCTTCATTATTGTTATACAAGATCTGTAATCCAATTAGTAACTAGATTAACCTGCGATATAGCAACCTGCTATATTTAACTCCTTGTTATAAACTTATAAAAATTCTGATATGTTTATATGTTAGAAATTATATATACGTACTAGGCAAATGGAAACCATTTTAAGTCCGAAGGCTATTTTCGGAATATAATAATTGTTTTGATCTGATCAACCAATCAAAAGCCTTAATTTGCGGACACACACACTATGCCCCTACCGTAATGTCCTTCGGACAATAATTTTTATTTAAAGTTTGATTCTTAATAAGAATTCGTATATAGAATTAAAATTTCTAATTTAAAAATCAAGTATAGCTA